AGAGAGAGAGAAACATCAATGTGAGAGAGACACATCGAGTGGTTGCCGCCCACACGACCCCAACTGGGGCTGGGGGTAAATGGCAACCGAAGTACGTGCCTTTAGTGGGAACCGAACCTGGGGCTCTCCGGTCTGCGGGTCGACGCTCTAACCGCTGAGCCAAACCGGCCAAGGCAGTAGATTCTTTAGAAGGGCACATGTGTACTGCATTCCTTGAGTTCTTGCACATTCAAATCGTTTTATTTTTTGAGTTTTGATATTTGAAGGACAGTTTGGTTCAATATAATATCCTTGGATTGCTTCCATGAGTTTCTTGAGAATTCCCCACTATTGCCTTGCTTTGTATGTTATTTACTTTTTACTGTGTCGAAAGATATATTATATATAATATTTATCATTTTAACCCTTCATGAGTGCACAGTTCAATGCCATTAAACACATTCACAGTGTTGTGTATCCACCACCACTATGGATACCCAAAACGTTTTCATCATCTCCAACCAAAACCCTGCACCCATTAAACACTCCCCTTCTCCCCTGGCTCCAGCCCCTGGTCATCTCTATTCTGTTTTCTGTCTGTATGAATTTGCCTATTCTAGGTACCTCTCATAATGTACATATAATTTTTTTCCTTATTGAGTTTTAGAGAGAGAGGAAGGGAGAGGGAAAGATAGAAACATCGATGAGAGAGAACATCGATTGGCCACTTCCTGCATGCCCCACACTGGGGATTTGGCCCACAACCTGGGCATGTGCCCTGACTGGGAATCGAACCGGCGACCTCTTGGTGCATGGGTCGACGCTCAACCGAGCCACACCAGCCGAGCTTATAATGTATATAATTTTAAAAGTTTTTTTCTTTATTGATTTTAGAGAGAGGGAGAGAGAGAAACATCAGTGAGAGAGAACAATCAGCTCCCCCAATGGGGACCAAGCCCGAAACCTGGGCATGTGCTGTGACCTGGAACTGAACCAATGACCTCATGGTGCATGGATCAACACTCTACCACTGAGCCACACCAGCTTGGCATATATGTTATTTTTTAAAAGTCTGATGTCAGTCTAATTCTGATGCCTTTATTTATTTATTTATTTATTTATTTATTTATTTATTTTTATTTTATTTTTTTTATCCTCACCCGAGGACATTTTTCCATTTTTTGTTCAGATAGAGCGGGAGGGAGAGAGAGGAAGAGAGAGAGAAACATCGATGTGAAGGGACACATCGAGTGGCTGCCACCCGCACGACCAACCAGGGCCGGGGACAAACTGCAACCGAGGTACGTGCCCTTAGCGGAACCGAACCTGGGTCTCTCTGTACCGCAGGCTGATGCTCCAACCGCTGAGCCAAACTGGCCAGGGCTAATTCTGATGCCTTTAAAGGTTATTTCATATTTTGCCTGGAGGCCCTGAAGGTTTTTTATCTTTAAAGTCTAATAGGTGTTGATTACTCAGTGTTAAGTTTACATAGTACCCAGTGAGTGCTCTGGATGTGTGGATCCAGATGTTTTATTTCTGGAAAGTCTTCTTGGATTATTTTTATTTATTTTTTGCATTTCTCTTCAGATGGAGTGGGAGGGAGAGAGGAAGGAAGAGAGAGAGAGAAACATCAATGTGAGAGAGACACATCAAGTGGTTGCCACTCACATGACCCCAACCGGGGCTGGGGACAAACTGCAACTGAGGTACATGCCCTTAGCAGGAACTGAACCCAGGTCTCTCTGGTCCGCAGGCCGATGCTCTAACCGCTGAGCCAAACCGGCCAGGGCTTGGATAAGTTTTAAATGTCAGCTCTTTGCCTATCTTCCATTTCAACCTTTTTCGCTCTGCCAGTTTTTACTTCATCTAATTTCCATTCTCTTGGTTGTTTTTCTGCTTTTTTTTTTAATGTCCTTTATTAAGTTTTCATTTGAATCTATTATCCCCTGGGCACATTTTAATCTTTTTTTTTATCCTCACCCAAGGACATTTTTCTATTATTGTTCAGATAGAATGGGAGGAAGAGAGAGGAAGAGAAAGAAACATCAACGTGAAAGGGACACATGGAGTGGCTGCCTCCTGCACAACCCCAACTGGGGCCGGGGACAAACTGCAACTGAGGTACGTGCCCTTAGCAGGAACCGAACCCGGGTCTCTCTGGACCGCAGGTCGACGCTCTAACCGCTGAGCCAAACCGGCCAGGGCCCTTTTAATCTTTAGTTATGATTTTTTAATTTTCTCCGGTGAGATCAATTCTCAGTTAATTAATTAATTTTTTGGTCTTATTGTGTTGTTAGTTTTTGTATTTCTGATTTGAGATGTTTTTCCATATCCCCAAATATGCTTATTTGAGGACATTTGATTCTATTTGGAGCACTGTATTGTAGTTTTCTTTCACTTTATGCTCGATTTGGGAGGGAGAATTTTTAGCAATTGAAATGCTCTGAATCGCATTTCTTTTCTAACAGTAGTTGTGAATGCACGTGATCTGCCTTTTGCTGGTCCTGCTCGTTCAGGTACAGGACTCCCCACGCAAGCGCGCCCTCTGCTGCCCATGAGTGGTGTGGAAGCGGGAAGTTGACTTTTGTTTCTCTATTTCTTGTTTGTGTTTTAGGATTCTTGTGTTGTTGTTGTTGTTGTTGTTGTTAATCCTCATTTTATTTATTTATTTATTTATTTTTATCCTCACCAGAGGACATTTTCCCATTTTTTTGTTCAGATAGAGTGGGAGGGAGAGAGGAACAGAGAGAGAGAGAGAAACATCGACGTGAAAGGAACACATCGAGCGGCTGCCACCCGCACGACCGACCAGGGCCGGGGACAAACTGCAACCGAGGCACGCGCCCTTAGCGGGAACCGAACCCTGGTCTCTCAGGACCGCAGGTCGACACTCCAACCGCTGAGCCAAACCGGCCAGGGCTATCCTCATTTTTTTTCCATTGATTTTTAGAGGGAGTGGAAGGGGGGCAGAGGTGTTGGGAATCAAACCCGAGACTGTTTGGTGGGCCAGCCGACACTGACCACTGAGCCACATCAGCCAGGGCTTTACTGCACCTTCTTCACAAAATAATTGCTTTTCTTGGATTCTTTTAAAAATTTATTTTCAATTATAACTGACATACAACATTTTATTAGTTTCATGTATACAACATAGTGATTATATTTATATACCATATGATCAGCCCGATTAGCCTAGTACTCATCGATACCACACAGTTATTACAATATTGTTGACTATATTTCTTATGTTGTACTTTATACCTCCGTTACAATTTTTAGTTTTAAAATATTTTTTTTCTTGCTCTGGCCAGTTTGCTCAGCAGTTAGAGCGTCGGCCCGCGGACCAGAGAGTCCCGGGATCGGTTCCCGCTAAGGGCATGTACCTCAGTTGCAGTTTGTCCCCAGCCCCGTTTGGGGTTGTATCGGTGGCAATCCCTCAATGTGTCTCTCTCGATGTTTCTTTCTCTTCCTCCCTGTCTCCCTCCTGTTCTATCTGATGATAAACGCAAAAATGTCCTTGGGTGAGGATAAACAAATTTTTTTTCTTTGTTGATTTTAGAGAGAGAGAAAAGGAGAGGGAGAGAGAGATAGAAACATCAATGGGAGAGAACATTGGCCACCTCCTGCATGCCCCCCACTGGGGATCAGGCCAACAACCTGGGCATGTGCCCTGACCAGGAACTGAACCAGCGACCTCTTGGTGCAGGGGTTGATGCTCAACCACTGAGCCACACAGGCCGGGTTCTTGATTATTTTTATAATTGGCGATTTGTACTTCTTAATCCCTTTACTTTTTTCATCCAGCTCCCCACCCCTCCCATCTGCTGACCGTCAATTTGCTGCCATGACCTTGTAGCAGTTTGATACCAGGTAGCATCTTTGTTCTTCTTATACAACATTGCATTGGCTATTTGGGGTCTTTTGAAGTTCCATATAAATTTTCGGGTTGTTTTAGGTTTGTTAAAAAAGCCATTGAGCCCTGACCGGTTTGGCTCAGTGGTTGGAGCGTTGGCCTGTGGACCAGAGAGTCCCGGGTTTGGATCCTGCTAGGGGCATGTACCAAAAAAAAAAAAAAAGTCCATTGATATTTTGATAGGGATTACATTAAATCTGTACATTGTTTCGGGTATAAAAGAGTTGTTTTGATGTTGTGAAATGTATTAGTCTTTTGTGTTTTTTTTCCTTCATTTGTTTTTTTTTTTGTGCTGCTGAACATCTGTCTATGGGACAACGCTCAATCCACTGACCACACTAGCCGGCAGGGTTTAGGCTGTTTAAAGTGTAAAGTGTAAAGGAGGCTGAAGGTGCAGAGGGGGAGCAGGGGTAGGGGTGCAGGTTGGGCAGGGTCCAGGTGCGAGTGAGTGCACTGCGGAGCTGGTGAAGGGGTCACATGGTCTTTAAACAGGTGCTCTTCTGTTTAAAGATCATGTGATCCTTCGTTTCGGCAGCCCAGGCACTGGAACACTCTGGTAGGAGAGGGAAGCCCGTGTGAGCCCACCTGACCTGCACTGGAGGTCAGGAAGGGCTTCCTAGAGGAGGCAATGCTGAGCTGGGCGCTAAAGGCTGGGTAGGAATTCATCGAACAGAAAAGCCAGGGAAGAGCATTCTAAGCAGAAGGAAGAACATATGGAAACCCTGGAGGAGGCATGAGAGTGTCAGAGACACTTCCGTCACCTTCTTTGCATTTCCCCACTCTGGCCTGCCCTTCCCAAGCATCTGAGGCCTGGGAACGCACTGCTGACAGCCTTTGCTCCAACACAATGGAAACATTATTTTTACCCAGAGGCCCCTTGGGCTCTGGTGGTGACGTGTATCATTCTCACCAGCAGGGGGTGCTCACACAACCATATCTGACAGAAGAGCGGCCTGGTGGGCACAGGCAGAATATTTCTGGCATTTGTCAGGATCCCAGGCTTCTGTTCTGGGGAGGAGGTACAGGTGGCCTTGATGACATGGGGTAGGGGATGACCTCCCATTGCTCCACAGACCATACCATCCTGAGAAGTCACAGTCACACGGCCCACGGTACAAGTACTTTATTTCAATTACAACAGTGCCACACCGAAACTACAGTAGCACAAAACATAATAATACAAAAAAATAGATTCCCAGCTCCAAACCCCATGTCCATGTACCTGCAGAGAAGCCGGCCTAATGTCTCCCTGGGCTTAAGAGGAGGGGTCTCCTCCCCGGGCCCCTCCCCAGCCCACTCACAGCACACCAGGAAGCAATGAGTGCAAACTACATTCCCTCTGGCTGGACCCTCGGCCCTAGGACCCTTGCTTCTGGCTGGGACGTCCCACTCAGTCCATGGTGCTGACACACTCCAGGACTGTGACCACGGGGAGGGCCAGAAAGCAGGAGGGCAGGGAGGGTGCCGGGCTGGGAAAGCCTGTCTGCGGGGCAGGGTGTGTGTGGCGGCCCGGGTCCTACCTCTCCTCTGCGGAGCCCCCAGGCCTGCTGCTGTGGGGACCAGGGAACCCACTCCCCACACCGCTGCCCCAGCTCTGGGGCTGATCCGAAGGTGGGCGGGGCAGTGGCTGAGCTGGTGCTTCCGTTGGGCGAGGTAAGTGCCCATGGGAGTGGGGCCGGGCCAGGCGGAGAACCCTGGCGGGCGCTGGCTGCTCCTGCCTGTCACAGGTACCTGTGTCCCCAGAGGACCAGAGTGGGGCTCCAATTAGCCCCACCTGTGGGGAGCTTCTGACCTGTGGCCTCAGGGAGGAGATAACATTCCTGGGCAGGCCAGGCGGCCTGGGTGGGGGAAGGGCCCCGCACAGCCTCCCGAGGCTGGAGAATTTCCAAAGAGGAGTCCAAATAGCTGGAAGTATTGTCTTGATTCAACCCAAGGGGCTGAGGGCGGGCTGGAGCTCAGGGCTGCTGTGGGGACCAGGGAACCCACTCCCCACACCGCTGCCCCAGCTCTGGGGCTGATCCGAAGGTGGGCGGGGCAGTGGCTGAGCTGGTGCCCCGCCCACCTCCTCGGACTCCTGACCTCGGTGCCGGACCTGCAGGCAGAGCCTCTGCGCTGGCGTGGGGGGCAGCTGTGTGGGCATTGGGAGTAGGGGGTATGGCCTTATGTTCCAGTCAGGACACTTGGGGGCTTCACTGAGGAGTCCAAGGGACCCTGGGGTCGAGGGGCTGTCTCCTTGGGCAGATAAGGCACTACAGATCAGAGGGCGGGGACGGCTGCAGCCCGGGAGCCAGGCCCAGGCAGGGTGGACCACGGAGCTCAGGGGTCTGGGACCTGCGGAGATGAGAGCTATTTTCTCCTTCCTTCTTTGGGGAAGAGGTGGGCAAGGTAGACTCTGGAGTAGCTGGTGTGGAGGTTGCTGTGGAGAGGCAACAGGCCCCCAGGACAGACATGGGGTGGCCAAAAGAGGAGGGACAAAGAGTGTAGGAGAGCACATCCGATGGGGGTCCCCACCTCACAGGTCATCTGTGGTCCAGATCCAGGGTGCTTGGGCACCCCAGACTGGATTTGAGGGCCCTGCGCTGGCCCTCATGCTGGGATAGCCATCAGTCCCCTGTTGCAACTTTGGGGATCAGACCTTCCTTGCTGGGGTTCCCACTGTTGGACTCTGGGGACTGAGGCAGGTTCGCTAAGAGGGGCGGTGTCAACAAGCTGGGCCTCCCCCAGCGGGCCCCCCTCTGCCTGGCCTCCCCGCAGGTCCTCCCTATATCCAGCGATGGAGCATACTCCAAGGGCTGAGGCAGCTCTCGGGGGACCTGCTCCATGGCCGGGGATCGCTGTCTCAGCTCAGCCTTGCAGCGAGTGAGGAAGAGAGAGGGGGTACCTCAGTGGGCTTCCCTTGTCCACAGGTTATTTAGAAAAACAGAACATAATAAATATACCAATCCTTTCCTTTAGGAAAAAAAAAAGTGTTTTAAATGCATTATTTCCCTGAAGATTTCCAGTGTATTCCACAATGTTTAAAAAATAGTTTCCCCAAAAATATATATTTAAAGCATTTGACACAGTGGTATTTGTGGTGTTATCTGGCGCTGGATGTGGGCGTGGGGCTGTGTCCACTGCCCTTGTCGGCGTGGGGCCCAGGCCTGGTGAGCAACCAGTGGACACCCAAATGCCCTCCAGAGTTGAGGCACACATGCCTGGGGTGACAGGGTCTCCACAGGGGATCAAATCTCGGATTATGCTGAGAACCCACATCACGGGCTCAGTTCCGGTGGAAAACCCTCCAGTGCGGGGGTGGGGGCCCTGGGTGGCCAAGGGGGCTGGGCGACACCCTGGGCACCGGCTGGAGGGGCAGCCTTGTCAGCTGCACCCGGAGGGCTCATCCGCAGTCCCTCCCCCTCCTCCACCTCGGCGCTGAGCGCCCCGCCCCTCACCAAACTTCACACTTGTGACGCGGGTTCATGGGCGAGCCGGGCGGGCAGTGGAAATGTTCCGAGAACTCCTTGGAGTTGGAGACAGAGCCGATGACCCGGAAGCGGGAGGGGCTGTGGGGGTCGGTGATGAGGCCTTCGTGGGTGCTCTCAGGCGTGCGGACAGAGCACCAGACCTTTGTCGGGGCAACAGGGGAGAGGCCAGGGTCACTGCGGGGTCCTCAGGTGGCCAGACTGGCCCTTTGCACAACAGCAGAGGAATGAGCCCCCCACCTGGCTCTAGGAACCCCTACTAGCTACGAAGGAAACACAGCACCCTCCACTGTGGATTCTCCGAGGTGCCCTGTCTGTCCCAGGACCTGTTAGAGTTCACCTGGACAGAGGGCTCAGCCTCCAGACCACTCTGAAAAGCTCCGACGGAGCCCACAGCACTCACTCCCTGGGCAGAACAACTGTCTAATGGCCTGGTAGCTCTGAGTGCCAACAGAGGGCGATACGCTGAATGCCAACTCAAGGGACAACCTGGGGCATATTGAGTTTAAGACATTTCTAGAACCCCAGAACCAGGCGGCCCTTTAGTGATCACCTTGTCCTCCCCTCTACCTGATGCAGGCTCCTGTCCCTGACACTCTGGGCCCTTGCTCGAATCTGACGACGGGAGCTCGCCCTCTTACAGGGTGGCCGCCCCGCGCGGGCCAGGGAACGAGGAGGTTCTCAACTGAGGGCAGTTTGCCTTTTGGCTTTCAGAGCTCCTGGAACACCAAGATGCCCGAGTCTGGCTTTTTCCTAAATGAACTCACCTGTGCAAACCCCAGGAAGAAGAGCTGGTTATTGGTGAGACCCAGGGTGGGCAAGGTCTGCTCGGCCCCGTTCTTCTTCAACCAGTTCTGGTAGGCCTGGGAGGAGAGAGCAGAGCTCAGGGCGCCCACCACATAAGCGCAAGCAGGGTGGTGATGGAGGGGCCAGGGGGAGATCTCGGGAAGTTCGACCCCGCAGGGCTGGTTTCGGGGTCTGGGCGTCAGCTCTGCTGGCCCAGCTCAGCCTAGGGGAGCCGCCGCCTTTACCTACACTCATCCCGAGGGCAAGTGTGTTCAACCCTATAGCTTTAAATGCCACCTACATGCCCAAGGCTCTCAAAGGCAGACTTTGTACATTCAACAGCCCCAGCTGGACTTCCAAGATGCATCTCCGACTTCACATGGCACAGACAGAAGGAAAGGTTACACACACACACACTCATTCTCCACCAAAGTAAATGGTATTGAGGCCCAAACCCCAGAACTCCTGATTCTTCTCTTTTTATCAAAGCAAACACCTCAAATCTGACCACTTCTCACACTTCCCATTGCTATTGCTCCGTCCCACCTCCTGCCTGGATAACCTCACGACAGCTTTCTAACTAGTCTCCTTGATGCAAACCGGTCCGATTCCAATCCCCTTCCAACACATCAACTTAAGTCATCCTTCTAAAGCAGGGGATGGCAGACTTTTTCTGTGGAGGGCCAGAGAGTAAATATTTTCAGCTTTGGAGGCTAACTGGTCTCTGTTGCCACCACTCAGTTCTGCCACTGCAGTGGGACAGAAGCCACAGACAACATGGCAACGGATGGGCCTGGCTGCATCCCCCCAATTTTTATTTACAAAAACCAGCCAAGGGCTGGATCTGGCCAGCAGGCTGCAGGTTTCTTGACCTCTGTTTTAAGGGATAAATTGGACTATGTCATTCCTCTATCCAAATACCCAGCATTGGTTGGATGGTTTGGCTCAGTGGATTGAGCGTCATCCCATGCTGGCTGCTGGTTCGATTCCCAGTCAGGGCACATGCCCGAGTTGTGGGCTCAGTCCCCAGTAAGGGGTATGCAGGAGGCAGCCAACTGATGTTTCTCTCTCATGGATGTTTCCTTCTCTCTCCCTCTCCCTTTCTCTCTCTCTCAAATTAATAAAAACATGTAAGAAATAAAAATAAAATATAAACTACAGCGATTCTCACTGTGACCAGAATAAAATCCAAGGTCCTTGCTCTGGGCCCAGCCATGCACCCAACCTCCTTTCCCCTTCCCAGCCCGGCTCTCCTGCCACTCTGTGCTGAACTTTCCAGGCTGTGTGTCTGCCTCGGGCCCCTGCATTCACTCCTCTTCCCCTGCCTCTTCCTCAGCATGTAGGTCTCAATGTCAGCCCCTCTGCATCAAAATGCAAAAGGTTCAAGACAAAGAGAGAATCTTAAAAGCAGCAAGAGAAAGGCAGCTAGTTACCTACAAGGGAGTTCCCATAAGGCTGTCAGCTGATTTCTCAAAAGAAACTGCAGGCCAGAAGGGAGTGGCAAGAAATACTCAGAGTGATGAAAAGCAAGAACCTACAACCAAGATTACTCTATCCTGCAAAGCTGTCATTTAGACTCGATGGCCATATAAAGAGTTTCCCAGACAAGGAAAAGCTAAAGGAGCTCATCACCACCAAACCGTTATTACGTGAAATGTTGAAGGGCCTTCAACCAATTACCGGATATTTCTGGGCTCAGTTTCCTCAACTGCAAAATGGGGGATATGAGACGGAACTGGGAAGTGGCTGGGGTCTGAGCACTGAGCCCAGCACGTGACAAGGCCTAAGTAGATGGCACTGCTTGGTATCTCTGCTGTTGCTACCTCGTGAGGAGGAAGCTGTGTCGCCCTCTGACGGACACCTCCTCCTTGTCTCTTGAGGCCTGGTACCTCTCCCACCCAACTCAGGCCCTGTGCTCCCACCTTCATATGTCGCACCCCAGTGACGCAGGGGTCAGGGACTCCGCCAAGCACGCCGAGGCTCAAGGCCGGGTGACTTACTCCAGAGCCAGGACTGGCTCCATGACCTGTGTCCCTGCCCTCCCCTCTGGCCCACGGCTGCCTGAGTTACCGGTGGCTTCCCCTGCACAGGGAAGAACAGGCAGGACCTCGGTGGGTCCAGCCCACGCCCTCCCCGTGTCTGTCAGGCCGGACTCACGTGCCGAAGGCCCGTGTGCCCAGCTCTGTGCCAGGTGCCTTCACAGGCACCCCTCAACTCGTCCTCATTGCGCCCATTTCAGAGTGGCTGCAACGGGCCCAGCTTGTCTGGCACGGCCCGGAGCGGGGCCCCGACGGCGGGGAGCGGGCCTCACCCGATAGGCCGCCTTGAGGCCCCCGTTGTCGGCGATGTTCTCCCCGAGCGTGAGCCGGCCGTTCACCGGCTCCCCGTTCACGCTGTAGTTGCCGTACTGCTCCACCATGCACTCGGTCTGCCGCTTGAAAGCCTCCACGGACGAGTTCTTCCACCAGGGCCGGAGGTTCCCGTCCTTGTCATATTCCCGCCCTGCAGGGTCAGAGGGCAGCGTCCGGTCACGGGGACGAGGGGGCGACGGGTCGGGCGCCGCTGACCGCAGCTCTCCTCCCGGCGCGGACAGGACGCATCGGTCCGCACCCACCTCCCAGCCTCGCTGGGGCCACGGCGGGGGATGGGGATGTGGTCCAGGCAAGGACCGGCGCCCCAGGTTTCAGTGGACTCACTGTCAAGGCTGCTAAGGCCTCTGACACAGCCCGAGAGGCGTAAGTGGCACTAGGGTCACAGCCTCTGAGGTCCTGCGTCCTCTTTCGTGGCCTTGGGGTCCCCAAGGCAAGAGGCAATGAGGAGGATTCTGAATGTTAGCTGGTGAGGAGAAATACATCCTCAGCTCCTCTGATGTCAGACCAGAGACGTCTCTGGAGCAGTGGGCGCTCCCACTCACTACACACCCGCGGGCTGGACACCTTCCAGGAGCAGAGTTCCACTGTGAGTCGGACACAGTCCTCACAATCACCACCCGAGCTGGGACCATCGTGCCCTTTTTACAGAGAAGGAAACAGAGGCTTGGAGAAATGATGGGACTTGCTAAAGTTCATACCATCGGCAGGAGGCAGAGCCGGGGTTTGAACCCAGATCCTCTGTCTCAAGGCCAAGACCCTTAGGAGTGCAGGAAGCAAAAGCAGAATCAGTGGGGCCAGGAAGCTGACAGGCCCCATCTGAAGGGAACCCCAAGGAACCCATACCTTGATCATCAAAAGCATGAGTCAGCTCGTGGCCCACGACGACACCGATGCCACCAAAATTTAAGGCCCTGGAGGGGAGGGCACGAAGGTGAGAGTGATGCCACGTGGGCAGGGATCATCGCTTCCCAGGGCTGGGGGCACAGCAGAGGCCCACACGCTCTGGGGGGCAGGCCCGCAGCTTGAGCCTGAGCCAGGCAGAAGCTGGTGAGTCGGCTGCGGCCGCCTGTGCCCCGTGGATGCCAAGCACTGGGCTCGACGCTCCACAGAACCACGCCGTCCTCTTCAGCCATCTCAGAGGAGTTAGGTGTGAGCAGCAGGAACTGAGACAGCGCCCTCCGCCTTCCCCGCTCCCCAGCCGTGACTGTTCTAGAACATTGGCAGAGGTGCATGCCCCTCCATCGGCTCCGCCACAACATGCCCCCAAGTTCTCCCTGTGCAGACCCTGGAGGGAAGCTCCTTGGGTCAGTGGGGCAAAGGGCGCTCGGGGAGACTGGCTCGGTCGTGCGGTCAGCTGTGGCCACAGGGCTGGGCTGGGGGCCTGCTGAGGGGCAGGGGAAGGAGAGGGGCTGGGAGCACCGGGGGCATCCTACTTGGGTGAGGAGCGGGTGTAGAACGGGGCCTGCAGGATTCCGGCTGGAAACACAATCTCGTTCTTGGTGGGCGAGTAGTAAGCGTTCACCATGGGGGGCGTCATGCTCCACCTGAAAGCGACATGTGCACGGAAAGGCAGGCTGGGGGAGGGTGCATGAGGAAAGCCACCTGGAGGGTATCCAGAGCCTTAAAAATGTGGGTTCCCCTTGATCCCATGCCCAAGTGCATACAAGTACAGGGCCATCCATAGCAATACTGTTTTGGAGAAAGGGAAATCCGGAAACACCTAAATGTCTGGAAATAAAGGACTGGTTAAATCTCACATCATGCCACACGATGAAACACCGGCTCTTACAAAGAGCACGATGGACCATTATATAGTGAGACATCTTGTCTCAGCTCAAAATGGACTCATCAGTAGTTCTCAAAATGTGGTCTGTGGCCCTGGCAGGTGTAGCTCCATTGGTTGGAGCATCGACCCACACCCCAGAAGATTGTAGGTTCGGTTCCTGGTCAGGACACATACCCAGGTTGCGGGTTCAATCCCTGGAAGCAACCGATGGATGTCTCTCTCACATCGATGTTTCTCTCTCTCTCTCTCTCTCCCCCTTCCCCTCTCTCTAAAAATCAATAAAAGCATATCCTCAGGTGAGAATTAAAAAAAAAAATCATGCATGGGTAAAAGATCCATCAAAGTTCAAGATAGAGGGATAGATTTTTGTATAACAGAGTATGAAAAGTTCATGGATGCAGTTTCTGATTTCACAGTGCAATTAGCCTTTAAGAAATTACCACTTGAGCCCAGCTGGTGTGGCTCAGTGGTCTGAGAGTCCTCCCATGGACTGAGAGGTCCCGGTGCGATTTCTGGTCAGGGCACAGGCCCAGGTTGTGGGCTCAATCCCCAGTAGGGGGCGTGCAGGAGACAGCCAATTGATGTCTCTCTCTCACATCAGTGTTTCTATCTCTCTCTCTAAAAAAAATCAATAAAAGCATATTTCTTTTACTTTTTTTTAATCCTCACCCAAGGACATTTTTGCATTTATCTTCAGTTAGAGTGGGAGGAAGAGAGAGAGAGAAACATCGATGTGAGAGAGACCCATCAAGTGGTTGCCACCCACATGACCCCAACTGGGGCCGGGGACAAACTGCAACTGAGGTACGTGCCCTTAGCGGGAATGGAACCTGGGACTCTCCGATCTGCAGGCCGACACTCTAACCGCCGAGCCAAACTGGCGAGGACAATAAAAGCATTATTAAAAAAAAAAGAAAAAAAAGAATGTGCCCTAATATCAGAGAAGACTATTAAAATGCTCCTTTCCCAACTACATATCTCTGTGAGACTAGATTTCCTTTAGATGTTTCAAAAACAATACACGGTAATAGATTGAACACGACACAGAATGACATCGTATGAACAGATTGTATGTAATAAAGACGCAGAAATGAGAATCCATCTGTCTCCAATTAAGCCAGACATTAAAGACATTTGCAAAAAGTAAAACACCTCTTTTCTCCTCATTAAATTTATAAAATAGTTCTTTTTTTCATAAAATATGCATAAGAATTGATATAACCTTCATAAAAAAGCTCTCTGGGTCCAATAATTTTTGAAGAGTGTAGAAGGGACCCTGATGGTATATAGCACTGAAACACTTGGCCCCTCCATGATTTTTCTGGTGTGCAGGGGAGGGGCCAGTGAGGAGCAGAGAGAGACAGTAAGGACATTCTCTCCAAGAGCAGTCACTCTGTGTCCCTCAGGTGAGCCCCACAGAGATGTACCTGAAAGGATATTGAGAATTTAAAAACATATTTGTATCAATCATGAATACATGAATGAGTAGGAGATAACATTTAAGTGAAAAAATTTAACCAGATAAAGGTTCAGATAAATTCAGAACCTTGGGGCAGCACCTGTGCCATATTCTGGAGATAAAAGATCACCTTCTTGTGCGTTTTAGGGGGACCCTGACTGTAGAAGGGAAACTTAGAGGAAACAGATGGTCAACCCCTGTTGTCCACGAGGGGGCGTCAGAGGCACATAAAAGTTGCTTCCACCTTCTGGTAAGATTTATTCTGCAAAATGTTTTAGGCACGGAGGGAACTTGGTCTGAGAAATAGTACTGGGCTGACTCCATCTGAGTTTTCTGAGACTATTAAAAAAACAACAGATACCAGGTCTCACTCCAGATTATTTAAGAAGATCTAGGGGACAGACCTTAAAATTTTTAAAAAATTTCCCCAGACTCTTGATGTGCAGTGAGGCTTGGGAACCACAGTCTGGCCGGGGGCCTGTCCAGAGTCTCCCAGGCTTCTGAGAGAACTGCCCTGGGAGGCCCCCCACTCCTGTTAGTGAGGAATTAGAGGAAACTGGCCCTAGCTGAGGGCCTCCTTTGTGTAACACTCCCAGAGGTTCTCACACTCGACTGTCATCCCAGCTCCGAGTGCGGAAGAAGCCCTCTGCCAACAGGCCGGCGCTGGGGGCACACAGACTCGGTCGATCCGAGCTCCTGCCTGAGCAACACTTCCTTGATCCTCGGGTTCTTCATCTGAAAAGTGCGATGATAACAGCACCCCTCACTCAGAGCGCCCTTAGGGCAGTAGCATCAGCACGCAAGGCAAGCCCAGCCCCGAGCACCCCGTGCCGGGAGCCAGCACCTCCCCAGCGGCCCGACTCACTGGTCTCTGTTGGGAGCTTTCCTGAGCTGGTCGGCAGTGACCCTCCACGAGAAGTTGAAAAAGCGCATGGCGTTCTCGAAGTACAGGTCTGGCACCGGAGTGTACTGGACAGGAGAGCAAAGTCACAGGATCAGAGCACATGGCGGGGGCAGGGGGGAGCACCTCAGACCCCTGACCATAAACGCAAACCCCTTCTTCTGAAACTGACTGGTCCGCAGGTCAGAGGCTAGAATGGGGCCCCGAGGCTGCAGGCTTGGGCTCCTCCTCAGCCCTCCCCTCGCTGGGGCCTGGCACCCTCTTCCTCTCAAGGACACAGAGAGCTTCCCCCAGGGCCTCCGACACCCCGCAGTGTCACAGGCCCAGCAGCAGCGCATGGGCCTCAGGCAGGAAGCGGCTCCAGCCCTGTCCAACAGGAGCTGCTGCGATGGTGGAAACGTTCCGTGTGTGTTGTTCAAAATGGCAGGCACTGGCCACGTGTGGCTACTGAGCATTGGAAATGTGGCTAGTATGACTTTTAAATTAAATTAAATTTTACTTAATTGGATTTTGACTAGCCATCTACAGCTAGTAGCTACCATACTAGACGGACAGACCTCACACGCAGCTCGCTCTAGCTCTGAAACTCGGGGCCACTGCACATCCTCCCCTCCCAGCGCGGCCTTTCCGCTCTTGTCAGGGGCACGGTTCCCTCAGGTCCCCCCGGGGCTTTCTGGCTTTACCACGGGGCTCGAGCAAAGCACTGGGCCCTTCGGGCAGGACCCGGGGCCTACAGCCTGTGCCCAGGAGCCCCTGGCCTGCTGTCGTGACTCGAGCACCTTAAATCATTCTCAAGGAGAAAGGCTGCAGAATGAGCCTCGTGTTCTCAGAGGTGATTTTAATATTCTTAGGTTTTAAATATAACCATGATGAAAGGTTATTATCACTGCAAAAAATGCCTGAATTCATGAATTTCAATCACAAAAAGATATAAAAATTTACCTTTCAGGGCAGAAGCACAATCCATTTGCCAAAAGTCCTAACTACCAGGGATCCATCAACTACCCTTGTTGCCTAAATGAAGCTTCAACTTGCATTTGAGAGTTATGCTTCCTTTTCCCTGTCAGCATTTCAAGGGTCAAAGCAGGGGTCCAGGTTTCTCTGGGAAGGTGGGGAGGACCCTGGGATAGGAGGTAACTCTGGGGCCGGGAAGGAGGAGGTGGTATGAGGGACTTCACACTGCACCCCACCCGCTGATGTTTCAGGGGCGCCGCTCGTTAAATGTAGCTGGCCACTTCCAGGGGGGCACGTGGCACTGTTCTGGCACTGCTGAACCCCAGCTGCTGGTGGCTCCGGGGAGGCGGGGCCTCCGGCCGGCCCAGGAGATGAGGAGCTGGGAACAGCTTCCTCGTGCCTGGTCCATCCCCAAAGCCCACAGCACACAGTCTCAAGATGTCTTCTCAGTCATGGTGCCTTCAGTGTCCCAGGCGGACCCAGCCTGCCTCTACTCTTCCCAAATGGGGACCCCCGGGGACATCTGGGAATGCAAGGGGGCAGGGTGAGGACCACTCACGTCGTTGAACACTTTGTCGAGCTCCTTGGGGTCCATGATAAAGTTGGGGTAGCCTATCATGTTGTAGATGGCATCTGCCTGCACAGGGGAGACACAGGAGACAGACAGTGAGTGACCAGCCGTGCTCTGTGGGTGCTGGGCCCAGTGTCGGGACCAAGGGGACATAGGGCCAGGTCCTCCCACCCCAGGGCTTTCACATCTCTTTCTGGAAAGATCCCCCTCCTGTCTAAATTCTACTTGTCCCTTAGGTATTGCTTAAACATCACTTCCTAAGGGAAGTCTTCCCTGGTCATCACCCCACCAACCACATCAGATCCTCACTCCGCACTGGACGTGTCATGTCTCCCTTGCACACTCAGCATGTCGTTTTCTTTTCTTTTTTTATCCTTACCCGAGGACACTTCTCCATATTTTGTTCAGATAGAGTGGGAGGGGGAGAGCGAGAGAGAAACATCGACGTGAAAGGCACACATCGAGTGGTTGCCACCCGCACAACCCAACCTGGGCCGGGGACAAACTGCAACCGAGGTACAAGCCCTTAATGAGAACTGAACCCGGGTCTCTCTGGACCACAGGCCAATGCGCTAACTGCTGAGCCAAACCGGCCAGGGCCAGCATGTCATTTTCATACAGTCATTCACGCGATCGGGTTCAAGGCTGTCCCTCTATCCTGCCGGACTGTCTCCCCCTGAAGGCAGGACAGCGTCTGGATACGGTTTCTCCTTCATCCACCTGCTTCTAGCACCTGGCAAGTCTCACCTTTTCCTTGGCTGATTTGCGAGTTTCTTCATCCATCCACTTCAGGGTCTTCAGACTTTCCTCAAACGCCTTCTTGATCTCCAGGATTATCTGGCTGGCCTGTGGAGACAGAGCTGAACCTGAAGGTCGGGGCAGTAGACGGGTACCCCGTGCAGGAGGATGACAGGCAAAGACTAAACTCAAATCTTGGCTCAATGTCTCAGGCTCCTAGGTGCTGGGCTAAGAAGTAGGGGGCACAGCCATGTTCCCCAGCCTCGTTCTCTAGAATACTAACATCCCGTAAGACAAGACTAGACTTCCATAAACAGGGCTCCGCGGTCAAATACAGTTAGGGTGAACTTTGAGAATGCTGGAAAAGCCTCTCTGCTGCAGGACTTTTCAGAGCCTTTAAGGTGCACCACGCAGTGTAATTCTTTTTGGAGAGAGCTAGAATATGTAGCCTCTCCAAGACTTCCTGGACCACAGAATTCCTTTTCGATGGAACGGGCTTTGAAATCTAGAGAACTTGGGTTCCAAGGAGCAGTTTCAGAAATGCTCTGCTCAGGTTGGACAGAAATGGCCATTCTCTGATCCACAGGGCATTGCTCCAACCGCTGAGCCAAATCGGCAGCAGTGTCACAGGCAGACCTGGCAGCTGAAGACTCCAGCTCAGGGGGAGGCAGAGTTTTGCAGCAGAAAGAGCAGAGGGGCTGATGTCCGACAGAACTGGGCTCTGATTCTGCACCAGCCCCTCATAGGCAAGTTGCATAATAGGTCTGAGTCTCCATTTGCAAACCTTCGACTGCAGAGTATATCCGTGTATTTCATATTAGTAATAACAGAGCAGCTATCTTTTATTGAACCCTGATTTTGTGCCAGGTGCTCTTATGGGGAGTAACTCATGTATCTCCCCTGGAGGGATGGACACCTCCACCCCCATATCACCCAACCAGGAACTGATCAATCCAGGATCGATTCGATCTGGTGCCTGGTTGTCTTCCCTTGCTCAGCCGTGATGTCCTCTGTCCATCTAGAACAAACCTGTCACCCATGGAGTAAGAAAAGTGCCACACTCTAGGCCAGAGCTGCTCTGTTGACCTGGTGTCGCTGGGTCCTCCAGGCCCTTGGAAGTGGAGAAGGCTGGATGGTGAGGAGGCTTAAATGAGATAATACAGCTGGAAGGCCCGGCCCTACAGTAACGATCACGGGTAATCCTCATTATTCAGGGGTTTAGGAAACCTTGGAGTTCAGGCTGGAGCCCTGGGCTGGAGGAGGGAAGGACCAGAGCAGACCAGAGTGTGGGCTGCCAAGAGGGGCCGTCGCTGGCGTGATGTCACAGCCCGTGTCCCAGGGGAGGCACTTACTATGTTCTTGCTCTCCTCAGCGAAGGTCTCTTTGACAAACATGGGGCCCAGGGCGAAGCCCAGGTTGTTTTCTGTGTCACTCACGCAGAGCTTCCAGCGAGGGAGACAGGCCTGGAAGCACAGTGGGAACGTTACGGGGCCCCCGGCCTCCTTCCCAACCCGTTTGTCTGGCAGTTAGCACCAGCTGGGGCCCCTACTTCCTTCCAAAACCCCAGGGAGACCTTCCGAAACCCAGCAGAAGTGATTTTAGGCATTGGACCAAGAGGCCACAGAACATCCCTCATCAGGACCACCTATTTCCTAATGCAGGCTGCAGGCAGCACTTCCCAGATGACATCCTGTGCAGCCATCAGAATGAGCCTGGGAGGCGGGACGGGCCCCTGACAGAAGGGGAAGCAGAAACACAGCATAGAGAAGTCTCCAGTCTGCGGTCCCACAGTGACTGGAGCTCTGCGGCGCCTACCCCCCCAGCCCACACTCCCACCGTACTTTGTCCTACCTGCGGGGGGAGGCTCAGAATCCTGGTGTACCCCTGAGCAAAGAGAGCCTTCTCAGAGGGCCAGGGTCCCCGCCCCATTTTAAGCCCCCCAGGGAAAGAACTGTCACAGTGATACTGCAAAAGTGTCCCTTTGTCCCCAGCCTCACCCTCAAGCCCGCTGGCCTCTGTGCGAGCTGAGACAGGCACCCAGGCGGCTTCGGCCCCACCCGCTCGCCTGCCCCGCAGCCCTCTGCGGACACTCCGCACCACCACACGTGGGGGCCCCGCTCCCATAAATCCCTCATGCTGCAGAGGAAGCCGAGTCCTCTGAACCCTGAACAACAGGTGGTAAAAACCGCCCAGGCTCAGGGCAGCCTGCTTAATAATAGCCCTCAACTGAAAACAACCCAAACTCCCACCAACAGGCAGATGGATAAACAAAATGTGGTGTTTTTATACAACAGCACACTACTTGGCAACAAAAAGGAATGGATGACTGATATATATGACACGGATGCATTTCACAGACTTACGCTGAGCAGAAGCAGCCGGATACAAAGGGCACCTAGTGTAGGATCCTGACTACACCCATCTACACTGGCCTGGGGGGAAGGGGCTGCGGGAAGGGGCACAGAGAACTTTCTGCTCAGAGGATGCTGAACAAATGGGGTAGTGGTTACATGGGTGACTTCATTTGCCAAAACTCACTGGACTGTGTACTTAATGTATATACTTTATTGCATGTAAACTATACCTTAGTTAAAAGAAACTGCTCCCGGGCAAGAAGGAGAAATGGAATAAAAAGGCAGTCTAACCTTGTCTAGGTTCAGTCGCCCAGCTTCTTTTAAGCTTTCCCACCAGGTGTCCATCTGGACGTCTTCCCTCTCCCCGCAACCCCACTCACCTTCCCCAGGGGTAAAGCCTCCAGCGGGCACAGGCCGCACCTGGCTCTGGCCAGGGCTGACCACACTGGAGGTCAGGACCAGGGGGATTCCCTGGGGGGAAGGGCAGGGAGGGCCCTGGAGCCCCGGGGCCTGGGAGGATAATGACATCGGCGGATATCTGTGTCGTATTACCACGAGCCAGGTGCTGCTCCAAGTGTTTTGTGTTTATGGGGAAGCAGTCGTATTGAGGTCCCCTGTGTACAAGGGGGATGGTGGTGGTACCTCCCTCAAAGGGGATGTGAAGGTCATGTGAGTTATATAAGGAACGTGTTTATCATTATCACTACTGAGAAGGAGTTGGAAGGGAGAGAAAAGAGGCTCCCTTTTGCTGTAAATTCGCTAAATTGCTAAGGTTCGTTATTCTTTAAGACCTGGTGTCTTCTGTCTACTACCCCACCCAAACCCCCAGCTGGCTTAGGCCCCCTCCACTGTGCGCAGGGACACCTGGGCGGACCCCTTCGGTGGCCCTCTTTATTCTCTGCCTGAGGCCCGGCACACAGTGGTACCCCACACATGTATGGGAGTGCACAGTAACAGACTCACGTTCTTGGTCCCATACATGACTTCCATAAACTTCTCGTCGGCATCCTGAAAGCGCTGATCAAGGAAGGTGCTTGTCTTCCGCACCAGGTTCCAAATCATGTAGTTGTTCAGCAGGCTGAGGCACGAGGAGACAAGACATGCTCAGAAGCGCTCCGGGCTGGAAATGTCACAGCACTCGCCCCACTGACCTCTAGGGGGCATTCAGACCCAGCATTCTGATCCCGGGCTCTTTCCACACCTGGCTCAGTTTGTCTGGTGCTACTCTCTAAGCACAAGGACTGTGGCTTCTTCAAGGGCAGTGCCCGTGTCTTCTGGTGGAAAGCCCTCAGTGCCTGGCGCAAAGATCTGCACAACACACATGCTCAGTGCTTGTTGCTAGCCTCAAACTGGAACCGACAGGGGGAGGGGTGAGAAAATAATCATGCTACATTTTCTCAGTGGAATACTCTGTAGCCATGAAAAAGGAGGTCTGCAGAGAGTATGGGATGACATAGGAAAAATGCTTATGATAAAAGTCAAGGGAGCCCTGACTGGTTTGGCTCAGCAGTTAGAGTGTCGGCCTGCGGACCAATGAGTTGCAGGTTTGATTCCAGTCAAGGGCATGTATCTTGGTTGTGGTTCGTCCCCGGCCACTCGATGTGTCCTTTTCAGGTCAATGTTTCTCTCTCTCTCTCTCTTCCTCTTTCTCCCTCCTACTCTATCTGAACAAAAATGGAAAAATGTCCTCGGGTGAGGATTAAAAAAAGTCAAGGGAGGCCCTGGGGAGATAGACCAGTTACAGCATTATCCTGATAGGCCAAGGTTGCAGGTTCCATCCCCAGTCAGGGCACGGACAAGAACCAATGAATGCAAACATAACAGGAACAATAAGTAAGTGTTTCTCTGTCTGTCTGTCTCCCTCCCTCTGTTTCTCTAAAAAGTCCATTTTAAAAAGTCAAAAGAAAGGCAGACTATACATCTAGTCACAGTGATGGGGAAAAGGAAGCGGGTATTAGAAATCATCTCTACCCCTCGCTCACACACACTTCCTCTCTCCACCTGCACACTCATGAACACACATCCCATAAGATCACCAGTAGTGTTTTGGGTAATTATAGTTCTTCTGTAGTTTTCGAAAACTTCTACAACAGATCTTTAAAATTAAAAAAAAAAAAAAACATAAATACTAACTAAAAATATGAGCTAACACTTGCCAAGTCCCATTCCACATCAAGGCACTACCTTAAAACACTGCGCACGGACTGTTTCACTCAAGTCTCACAACAACCCTGCAGGCCAGGTGCCACTTGCGTCCCCATTTTATGGATGTGGAAAATGAACCGGAGAGAGGGTAAGAAACATGCTCCAGGCTGCAAAGCTGGTAAGTGGAAGAGGTGGGATTTGAACCTGCGCTCATTGCCAAGGAGCACTGCTGCCTCTCACAACAGCCAGCCCCAGGGCCCATTTTCCTGAGTCAGTTGGTCACCGCTGGCCCATCCTGCCCGAGGAGGGCAGCAGTGTGTGACCCCAAAGGCTGCCCGGGGGAGGCCTGCCCCCGGCTGGGTGCACTTACGATTTGTCAGTGCTGTTGATGAGGGCGGAGACCTGGACGAGGTACTCCTTGTCATAGGCGACAATCGGCTCGGACTCATTGATCTCCACGGGGTGGAAGATGGTGCTGAGGAAGGGCAGCCAGCTGATGGCGGGTGCCAGGGCCTGGAGGAGAAGAGGACAGCGTGACTCAGGGCCCAGGGCCCCCGGCGTGGCACTGTGCCTCCACCCTCATACACAGCAAAGAGCGGGCGCTGTCCGACAACGCACTGGGCTGGCTGATTTTATCAGAGATGCTGTACACAGACATCTTTTTAAAAATATACTCACTTAATATTTTATTTACTGACCTCCCTGAAACATGTCAAAAAATCATACAGATAATGGAACTCTCCACATTAACATGCTGCTGAAGCCGGGCCGGTGTGGCTCAGTGGACTGAGCGGCATTCCAAGGACTGAGAGGTCCCGGTCCAATTCCCAGTCAGGGCACATGCCTGGGGTTTTGTGCTTGATTCCCAGTAGAGGGCGTGCAGGAGGCAGCCAATCCATGTTTCTCACATCCATGTTTCTATCTCTCTCTCTTCCTCTCTCTCTAAAAAAAATCAATGAAAACATATTTTTAAAAAAGTGGATTCCACTTGATTAAAAAATAATAATAAATAAATCAATAAATAAAAACAAAATGTTGCTGAACATGGCAGATTCCTAACCCAAAATATTTTAATGTGGGAAATCAACATATGAACATGACATTTAGGTGGTAAAATGCAAGATAGATATAAAATAGTATCATATTTCTGATTTTAATGGAAAACAACAGTGTGACAGTCACACTTAACACTTTGGTTAAGTAAAGAGAGGATGAACAGGGGTGTCAGAAGGGTATACATAGGATTCTAAGGAGCCACAACTTGAACTTGAAATGGAACATGGGTGGGATAGAGGAGACGCTGATCAAGCCCCTCCCATGCCAGGTGCCATTGCTAATGAGACTCGCTTATGTCTCAACCGGTCCTCATGAGACGCCTAGGAGGTAGGTACTATTATCCCCAGTTTATTTTTATTTTTTAATTCTTTATTGATTTTAGAGAGAGAGGAAGGAGAGGGAGAGATAGAAACATGGATGAGAGAGAACATCGATCGGCTGCCTCCTGCATGGCCCCCACTGGGGATGTGGCCCACAAACCTGGGCATGTGCCCTGACCAGGAATCAAAACAGCGACCTCTTGCTGCATGGGTCGACGTTCAACCACTGAGCCTCACCAGCCGGGCTATTCCCAGTTTATTGATGAAGAAACTGAGCCTCAGACGGGCCTTACTAGATAAGTGTGTAGAATCTGGAGCCAAACTGCCTAGGATCATACTCCAGCTCTGACTCACAAGCTAGGTGACCCTGGAAAAGATGAGGAACCCCTCTGTGCCTTGGGATCTGGAAAGTGGGGAGCACCATGATAACAGAACATACTTCATAGGGTTAGTGTGAGGACTAAACGAGTTAATACTGTCTGTTGGACTCAACATGCACTTCTGTGACATCAACTGGCTTCTATCTGACTGGCGTTCTATACAACTGCTAAATTCAGGAATGACAGCAGTACAATGTGTCCATTGTTCTGGGCCATAGGTGATTTTTCCCAGGCATGGCTTCTGGAAAAGCATGCTAGACGGATAACCTTCAGCAAGAAAGGAAAAGCCCTTAGCTCAGCTGATGCACCCACAGGAAGCCCGTCAGCTCCGTTTTAGTCATTTAAAGCGAGCCCCTGCGCACGGCTGCCTCCCCAGACGCACAGGCAGCTCTGTCTAACGCGCAGCTCTGGGCAGGTTGACTTGCTCTTGGCCACCCTTCGGGCAGCCCCACTGCTCAGGGCTCCCGTTTGTTTGGTCAGCAGGGTCTCTGTCCACAGCCAGCACTTCTGCTTCCCACCAGGAGCCTCCAGCCACGCTGTGTGATCTCTCAAGGCTCCAATGACTGTTTTGATTACAAAGTTAACACAACATTTTTTTTTTATCCTTACCCGAGGATATCTTTATATTTATCTTCCAACAGAGTGGGAGGGAGAGAGAGAAACATCAATGTGAGAGCGACACATCGATTGGTTGCTACCTGCATGACCCCAACCAGGGCTGGGGGCAAACTGCAACCAAGGTACATGCCCTTGGCTGGAATTGAACCTGGGAGTCTCTGGTCCACAGGCCAATGCTCTAACTGCTGAGCCAAACTGGCCAGGGCCAACATTTTATTATTATTATTTTTTTATCCTCACCCGCGGACATTTTTTGTTCAGATAGAGTGGGAGGGATAGAGAGGAGGAGAGAGAGAGAGAGAAACATCGACGTGAAAGGGACACATTGAGTGGCTGCCACCAGCACAACCCAACCAGGGCCGGGGACAAACTACAACCAAGGTACGTGCCTTTAGCGGGAACCGAACCCGGGTTTCTCTGGACCTCAGGCCGACGCTCTAACCGCTGAGCCAAAGCGGTCAGGGCCAGGGCCAACATTTTAAAAAAACTGTGGCAAAAGTACACATCTAAAATTTACCATTTTAAAACCCCCCCTTTTAAAAAATATTGGTTTTTATTGATTTTTTAGAGAGAGAGAAAGGGAGAGATAGAAACATCAATGTCAGAGAGAATCATCGATCAGCTGCCTCCTGCACGCCCCCGACTGGGGATTGAGCCTGCAACCCGGGCATGTGCCCTGACCAGGAATCACACTGGGACCTCTCAGTCCATGCGACGACACTCAACCACTGAGCCACACTGGCCGGGCCCATCTCAACCCTTTTTCAGTGCACAGTTAGGTGGCATTAAGCGCCTATACATCGTTATGCAACCATCACCACCATCCATCCACATACGTCATCTTGCAAAACTGAAACTCTGCAGCTATTACACAGTAACTTCTGCCAGCTCCTCCTCCAGCCCCTGGAAAGCACCTCTTCCTGTTCTGTCTCTACGCATCTGCCTGCTCGTGGAAGTGGAATCGTGCCGTGTCTGTCCTTGTGTGACTGCCTCCTCTCACTTTGCGTAACGCCCTGGGACGAAGTTGCACAACTTCTGAATGGTCTGCTCTAGACTATTTTTCCCATGTGTCTTGTTATTTTTAGTAATTTTTTTGTTCTGCAATTTTACAGAATGCACGTGGTTTGGGGAGCACATGTGCCGTGTTACAGCGGAAGTGCCTGTATGTGTCCATCACTTAGGATGGCATCCGGCGCTTCGCAAGTATCGATTAATGTCAGCCACTGGAGTCACTGCTCAGTCTCCCAAGAGTGGGCCTGGGCTTGTCCAGTTCCAAACTCTGTCCTCTGTTCCCCTGAAAAAGGGCAAAAGCAAGACGGAGGGAGGTGAGAGAGGCACTAAAAAGGGCCTCCAAACGGTAAAATCAGTCTGTAACATCAGCTGCATCTATAACCTGTTGGTAAATGGCTGTGGTGTCCTCAGTGAGAGGGGCAGCCATGGAGATGTCACAGACACTGAATTTGCAGACGAGCTCAAATGACTTTCCTGCGGTCACACTGTTAACTAGTGACTATGCAGGTCTAAGACCCAGGTGTACTCAAGTGTCCGGTTTTAAAGGGCAGCTCAGCTGCTGGGGAACAAGGGCGTCAGGGGACGCAGCTCCCATAGGCAAGGGCTGGACAACTGGCTCTCGGTGGGGGTTGGTCTGTGTTTCCACCACGACCCACTGCAGGCTTCCACAGAGCGGGGAGGAGCTGCTCCGGCAAATCGCCCGCCCGCAGCCAGACAGCTGGAGGCCCTGTGCTGGACTGAGGAGACCCAGTCTTTCTCTGCAATGGGGACAACAATCTCCACCTCCCGCTTTGGTGTGGCTGCTCTGTGCCTCTCGGGACAGCTTGCTCAACAAACCCGAGTTTCTTTGCTTCCTGGCTTCGTTCTGCTCTCTCTTCCTGGCAGGAGCCCCTCGGGCAGGCAACCTCTGGGGCTTCCCCTTCCATTTCTAGGGCTGCAACACTTGGAGTGTTTAGGTGAGTTGGCTAAATAGGGCTCAACCTTTAGAGCCACCTGTCTTCATGATCTGCTGGCAAAGACCCCTGGGAGACTGGCCAAGTTTACAAAATGTCACTGCTTATACAATTAGCAAGGGCTTCATAAACTGCAGGCCACTGGAACTCTCTGATCAGGGCACAGGTATTAGGAGGAGATAAGTCTCTATGTAGTTAACACAAGCCTGTTCCTTTGGGCACAGCAGGTGTTCTGTGCAGGTAAATTCTCACAATGCTGGGATAGGGTTTGTGCTGAATACCAGGATTTTCACATTTCAATCTCTATGCCTTTATAGAACACCTAACTTAAACATGTGTGCTAGGTCTGTCTCCATGGAGATGGCTGTTTTAACCAATTAGGACATTCCACTTGTGACTCAAATCCTTTGGGGCATACCGATGAGCTCTATTTTCCATACCCGCAGCCAAAGAGTACTGCAGGTCACCAACCAGCCCGCTCAGGTAGGCTGCAAAGTGGGAGAGAAGAGAAAGATGCTATCACGCTTTATCTCAGCTAGAATATCTAAAGGGGATGGGGTTCATTCCCAAAGATCTGTTGGTGTGGAAGGTCCTAGAAAGAAACGGGAGGGTCCTCAGTCCCCCAGAGGAGCGGCAGAAGGATTCGCAGCCCTGAATTCAGATGCTGGGCCAGCCTAGAACCACACTGTGAAGGCTGTAGTGCCTTCCTTTGAGTCACCAGGAGGAAGGGAAGAAAACCAATTTCCAGATACCAGAGAACAAGATATTCTCTGTCCAAGGGTGGAATGAATCAAACTATTTCGTGCTGCAGACAGGGCTGGGATCACCAGTAACAAAGGAATAATACTAATGATGATTAAGAAAATATATTTGAATTGCACACATCGGTTTACAAAGTGGAATCTCCTCCTTTGCTTCATTGCATCCTCTCGCAATCCTGTGGGCAGCCAGGCAGAGGATCTTAACCAGGAGACAGGCTTCAGGGGTCCGGTACGACTTTAAAGGTTAGACACAATTATGTTATATGTACATATGCCCATTACTTCCGAGAGACACTCCACGGTTTTCAACCTGTTCTCAAAGACTCTGCGACTTAAAGTGGTGAGGGCAGGGCTGCCCTGGCACACGGCGGGTGTGAATAAGTGAGCAAAGCCCCATTTCACAAGAAAAGGAAACCAGGCTTCCCAGAAGGGGCTGTGTGATTTGCTCAAGGCCACATAGCTCGAGGTGGGGCTGGGCCAGAGCTGTGTTCTGACTCCCAGCCCAGGGCTCACACCGCTCCTGCTGCTGCCTGAGCCCAAGCCACCCCCCCCCCCCTGCAAGCTATGCAGCCGAAAGTCCTGTCTTGCTTGGAAGAACAGAACAAAAGCAATGGTGATCGGATGCCTGGGGGCAGAACTTGATAGCCAGGCTGGGGCGGATGTGCCAAGGGTTACTGTGGCCTTCGCTGCCACTCCTGGGGTAGTCGGTTGGCACGGCCACTGTGGGGGCTGAGGGACTGCTGGGCCCCTCTCAAGCTGAGAAGTGGGCGGCCGGGGCAAACCAAATTATGCTGCACAAACGCATCTCCCTCGACTGGGCCTCAGAGCAAAACACAGGACCAGATGGTGCCCGACACAGGCTGCTGACCTTCCTGACAACCCACCCAGCACCCCTCATGCTGATGCCAGCTTCTCCAGGGACCTAGAGGGCAGCTGGCACCCAGAAGGAGGCCAGGCTTTGCTTGGGCTGCACCTCCACCTGGGACACCCAGTCTGGCTGCCTACTGCTCACCCACCGGCCAGACCCCTCCCCAGGGTCGCCCCACCCCTGCCTAGTGCCCTGCTTCTTATGAACACAGCAGCGAGTCTGGGGCTGTTCCTTGTTGGTGGCCCCATATACACCTGCCAAAGGGAGGAGAAAAAAACAGGGACCTCAGTGTTCTTCCAGAAAGGTGAGCAAATGGGCCAGACTAAGGCAGAGGCAGGGCGCGGTGGTCAGAGGGTAGAGAAGGGAGGAGGCGTGTTAGGGCATCCCAGCACACGTGGCCCACACATGCTCCCAGGGAGAGCAGGCCCGGCCAAGCATTCCTCGGCGAGGGCAGGGAACAGGAAGACTGGCTGAGGCCCCTCTGCTGGTTTCTCTGTGACCCCGGGAGGCCAGAGATAAGGCTGGACACCAACACCTGGGGAACTGGAAAGAAGGAACTTGGCAGGCAAACTCGTGACCTGCAAGTCCCAAGCAGTCACCAGGGGGCAGCCTTTCACTACGTGTGAGCTACGGAGGGGATGTTTGCTTCTGATGGGTTACACTCAGGACAGAGCCTCACCGTTCTGACCCCAACCCAGTTCCACCTCCAGGAAGTTGCCAGGGTCATGGTCAGAAGCAGAACTTCAGTGAGCTAAGCTGGAGTCCAGTGCCCAGCTTTCCCGCCACTTAGGAGCCTCATGGCCTTGGACACGCCCCCTAACCTCCTGGCTTAGAAAAAGAAGAAGTGATGCCCGGCCGGTGCAGCTCAGTGGTTGAGCGTCGACCCATGCACCAAGAGGTTGCCGGTTCGTTTCCCGATCAGGGCTCATGCCCAGGTTATGGGCACTATCTCCAGTGGGAGCATGCAGGAGGCAGCCAATCGATGTTCTCTCTCATGGATGTTTCTATGTCTTGCCCTCTCCCTTCCTCTCTCTAGAATCAAGAGAAAAAAAAGGGAAGAAGTGATGACAGAACCCAGGCCTCACATTTACTGTTTGCTGTGTCCCAGGGTGGATGAGCTTGGGGCCCAAGAGACTGGAAATGCCCAGTCGATGTCAGTTAGTATCATGACCAGCCTCCCCAGGCAAATGCTGTTACAGAAAAGCCACCTAGCAAAGGCAAGAGACTAGCTTTGGAGTCCCTAGCTGTGTGGCCTTCAGCAGGTAACGCCACCTCTCTGAGCCTCAGTTTTTCCCTCTGTGAACTGGGTATAACAACCAACCCTGCTTCACAGGGTTGTTCCGAGGATCCGATGAAGGGGGTGTGAAACCCAGCCCAGCGCCCTAGGTCTCGAAGCCCTGTGGCTGCCCCAGCTGGAGCCCGTTACCTGGAGTTCGGCTACTGTCACTTTGTGGTAGATGAACTCCTCGTCCCGGCGCTTCTCCTGGGGCACAGTGATGTTGGCCAGCATTGTCTCAAAGTCCAGGATCTGCTGCATCTGAGGCCGAACGGTGTCCTCGTCCCCTCCGCCCAGCAGCTTCCCCAGCTGGACCATGTAGTTCAGGTATCCCGTCAGCACCTGTGGGACCCAGCACCCCCAATCTGTCAGTGGCTGCCACCCACTGCTCACCGGACAAGGGCGGCAGGGCAGGCAGGCCCGCTGTGGCCCCGAGCAGAGAGCGAGGGGCTGGGTGCTTCACTGCTTCCCATGGCCCTCAGGACAAAGGCCACAGGTCCCCAAGAGGGTAGGTTCCTGCTGTCCTCGTCCACAGTCCCCCCTGCGTCTCATCCCACGAGCGCCACCAGGGGGCCATCTTCCAGGTCCTGGAACTCCCTTTCTGTGCTGTCTCCTCTGTGCCCCAGATCTGAGCTAGGTCCCCAGGTGACCGTCCCAGCTTGCCCTTTACTTGTCACAATTTGTCATTATGTCTCTAATTGGTGCTGAGTTAGTTTCCTAGACCCTAAGCCCCACGGGGCGAGGACCAGGCTGCCTTGCTCACCCGTGTCTCCAGCACAGGCATAGCAGGTACCCGCCCAGGACAGGGGGTGGAATGATGAAGGGACAGATGAGGACCTCGGCCAAGGTCCCCATGGGACACCAGGGGATGCAGTCGGGGGCAGAAAGTTGTGGGGTTTAGAGTTAGCAGATCTGCAGTGAATCTCCGCCTTGTTACTTTCCGGCTAAGTGACCTTGAGCAGGTCACTCACTGTCTCTGAGCCATCCCCTCCTCTGAAAGAGGCAAGGTAAAAATAATACCCAAGGTAAAATAACACCCATGCGACAGAGGCCGCCGATGACGTTCCGAGGAGACGGTCAGTATCTGCAGGGTAACTAGGGGGCCACAGGTGCGTGTATAAAAGTCCCAGCACTCACAAATGGCAGTGGCCGCGTCGCTCTACAGTGGGGACAAATGACGCCTGTTCCCTGCCTATTGTGCCCGTGACACCTGAATGTGAAACAGCCTCACTCTAGAATGGGGACATGACACCCCTCCCCTGCCAGGGACTGCATGTCACCTATCAGGTAAATGATACTTCTGAGTTCCTCTAGCTTCAAAGACCCACGCAGGTGTGAACACGCAGTGGACACAGGGTGAAGAGCTGGGGGCGGGAGCCACTCTCCTTGAAGAGGCCCACTCACCTTCTCGTTTTCAGTTTTGTTCAGGTAATAGTCCCTCGAGGGTAAACCCAGGCCAGACTGGTCCACCTAGAGAGAAGGCAGAAGTGAGGGGCTCTCCCGATGCACCCGCATCCCACATGGCCTCCTCCTGCCCTGGGCACGGCTGCCACAAGGCAGCAGAGGACCAGCTCAGGTCCCCGCAGGAGCACCAGTTGGCAGCCGAGGCCGCCCCTGGGGTGAGCTCACCCAGGGAGGGAGCAGGGCCATGTGGGCTACATTCCTGCCCATATGCGTGGTCAACCAGAGATTCTGGGCCCTTCCGAAGGGTCAGAGACACCCTTTTTGTAAAAAAAACATAGTTTACTGATTTTTCAAAGAGAAAGGAAGGGAAAGGGTGAGAGAGAGAGAGAAACAGCGATGTGAGAGCATAACATCGACTGGCTGCCTCCTGCACGCCCCCTACTGGGGATCAAGCCGAACACCTGGGCATGTGCCCTGACCAGGAATCCAACTGGCAACCGCTTGGTGCACAGGACAACGCCCAACCCACTGAGCCACACCGGCCAGGGCAAACCACCCTCTTCTTCTATGCCCAGCAGAGCAGGTTTATTTCATAAAACACTTCTTAGGATGGTGCAGTGGTTCAGAGCCACCCACAAGCCGTGTAACCTTGGTCAAGTTACGGAACCTGTCTGATCCCCAGGCTCTTCATTTGCAAAATAGGGGGAAATATCTAACTCTCCTCGGAGCTGGAAAGGGGATTCGAGGACAGAGAGCCAGGCAGGTGAGGAGGGTCGATTCCTGAGAGTTACTATCAGAGCCTTCGAGCCACCTGGTCAGACCTAGAGTAGTTGTTATTATAGTTCATTTGATTAGTAAGGAAACTGCAGTTCAGAGAGGTTAAGGCACTTGCCCAAGGTCACACAGTGAGTGGCAGAGATGGGTGGAAACTCAGCCTTCATGGCAAAGATGGACTCAAAGCCATTCCAAGCAGAGCTACAAAGGCTGGAGGCTGAGGTGGGGGACCAAGATGTGGCTCCGGCTGTGCCTAGGGGTTGACATCACTCCTGGAGCCCACAGTGACCAATCAGAACCCCACAGACTCATTGGTGTTGCGTGACCCCACCCAGCCTGCCCTTTCAGAGCGTCTTGCCTGTAAAGATCTCCCCCATGGGAGCCGCCAGCAATAGCTCAGGTCAGAAACCAGAAGCCTGCCTGTCTGCCAGGGCAAGTCCCCTCCCCACCTGCCCCAGGGCAGCATCCGCTGAGCTCCAAACAGTCCGCGAGGTCCTGCCCCTTCCTCCTGGGACTCCAGCTCAGTACCTGGATCACGTTGCTGTTGGAGCTCTTGGAATCGGCGCTGACGTAGACAGAGAAGAAGGGCGAGGTGCGGTAGTGGGAGGTGACCACCTGCAGGATCTCCTGGAAGTTGTCCTTGTTCCAGGGCCCTGTGATGTTCCAGCCCCCGAGCTGTGGGGAGGGAAGGAAACAGGGAGGTGATGAGTTGGTGGGGAGCCCTGGGTGTGAACTCTGCTTCTGCAGCTGACATGACCTCTCTGAGCCCCAAGAGCAAATGAAAGGGCTGGTCTTCATTCGGAGTTTCTGACCAGGGAGCCAGAGATCCCGGATGGAGCAAAGATGAACCCTAGACAAGTGAGCCATGAATCCATATGATGACTCTCCCTGGTGGCTGGGGATGGGGGATGGGAAGACTTTTCTGGTACACTGTTTTTTGAATACTACATCACACAAATGTCATTCCTCTTGGGGCATAAATTCAATTGTGCTTAAAGCTCCAGATTTTATTTATTTTTAAATTGTACTTACTTATTTACTTTTCAATTACAGTTAACATTCAATATTATTCTGTATTAGTCTCAGCTGTAAGGAAAGCTCCATATTCTTAAAAAGGCTGATAATCTATGGTCTACTTTAGTTTCTCTGAGTTGGGTTTTTAAAAATTCCCTTGGTTGGGCACATGCTGGCAGGTGGGGCCTGTCAGAGGGGAGGGAAGGTCCAGTCCCGGTGCCCACGGCTTCCCAACCTGCCACAGTGCCTCCCGGAGCCGAGCTGGGACCCGGGCCTGGAGGGAGCACTGGCGGCCGGACAACATCCACGGCCACCCTGTGCGTGCGCCAGGCAGCCCCTGGGGTCCATCTCAGGCTGCCCGAGTGCCCAGGAAGAAAGACTCTTTCTTCTGCTCAGGAGGCCAGGCAGCCCAGGGTCAGTGGGAGGGCTCTGGTCCAAGACTTTCTGTTGGTCCTTCTGGAACACACCCCTGGCTCACACACAAGCACACTCTCTGACAAGGAAGCAGTGACACAGAAACATTTTCTCTGTAAACAGTCCCTGTCCCACACACAGACGCAGAGACAGACATGTGTGTGACAGACATCCAGGACAGACGCTGACACACATCCCCACACGAATGCACACATGGTAAGTCCCACCCACAGAGAGGAGCATGTGTGAGCGCACTCACCCAGCCCTGACACACGCCAGCAGACGGGCTCCACCAGCCGGCTGGGCAGCAGGGCCGAAGGGTGGGGGGCCGGCCCCCGTGGGAGCTGAGCGCTGGGGCAGGAGCCAGAGGGGCAGGCAGGTGACACGGGCCGGAGGACACCTGGGAAAGTCTGCCAGAGGAACTCACCTTCTCAATCAGCTCCATCAGGGGCTTGGCCTTGAGCTCCTCGATCCTGCTTTCGTTCATGCAGGCACGGTAATACACCTGGGCCTTCTTTTCCGCCTCACTCACGCTGGCTGTGGAGTTTTCTGGAACAACAGGAGATAGCAGTTAGCGACATGCCCCATGCGCGCCCTGGGAGGTCCTGGGTGGTCCTTTTCAGGGCCCGGCTGTCAGGGCAGCATGAGGAAAACAGCAAGTATGTGACTGCCTCGGGCTCAGCCTGCAAACTGGCGGGGCCCCTGCTCTGAGCTGCTGGCAAACAGGAAGCCTGCACGCCGTGTTCCTCCCGCTCTGGTGGTCGTTTGCAGACGTGTCCCTGGGTTGGCAGCACGGGCCACCCAGCCGGAGGACGGTCTGCTTTCCCCGCCAGCCAACACAGGGCCAAGCACCCCGCCCGGTGCAGGGACAGAGGTCTGTCTTGGTTTCAGATCCCAGATGGCCTTTCTCGTGATAAAGACTAGATTTGGGGGGAAGCCTTCAAGGCCTCATTCATTATGGATTTACCTTCAGCTTCCTCCCAAGAGGCCGGGCATGTTCATCAGACTCACAGTTGATTCGGGCCACCTGCCGTGTCCCTTCCCGAAGCCGGCAAGCTGCATGTCAGTCCCTTACACTAGGAGACCCGGGAGACTGTCCCTTTCTCCCTGTCCTTAGGCCCTGGTCCAGATGCCACCTGCTGAGGGCCATGCTCATGTATGTGCGAAAGCACAGGGCAGGGTCCCATCTGCACCCAGTGAAGGCGACCACTTCCTGCTCCTGTGCCTGAGCGTTCGTCTCCGAGCCCCGCTCCAGACCCCCCAGGGTCCCTGACGCCCTCAGTTTCTCTGTCCAGCTTACACCCTCCCTGGGGACTCCTCAGTGCTCTGGCCATTTTGCCTTGCTTCATATTTGTCTTCCCCAGACCATGAGACTCCTTCCTTTGCTTCCTTCAAAGAGCCCCCCGAAACCCCACGTCCTCCATGAAGACTTCTCTGGCGGAAAGTTACCCATTCATCCACTAAACAGATACTAGATGCTTACTCCGTTCTAGGCTCTGTGAATGCTTTGGGGGTGCAAAGACAACCCCCTGTCCTCACGGGGTTTCCTTTCCAGCACGAGGGCATAGTAAACACATTAAAAAGCCCACGCCGGCCCTTCTGCATGGACAGTCTCCTCGGCCTTCGAGGCCTCTCTCAGGGTTCCCAAGAGGTTCATTCACGGAGGCTCAACACTGAGCACCTACCCGAATAAGACCCGCTCCTTACCCCCAAGACACTCAGGTCTAAAGGTGAACATACAAAGAAATGACCATAGACACCACAGTGCTTTGGTTAATGCAAATGATTCAGGAATCCAGAAGTCACGTCACACCCTTGGGAGGGGTGGGGCCGGGGGTCTCCAGAGGACATCCTAAGAAGTGATCCACCGGGTGGAAATGAGGGGGAAGGGACTGGGTTTGGGGGCAGCTGGAGAATGTGAGGAATTGCATAAAAGGCCCTGCAGTTTGGAGAAAAGGAATCCATTTGGCATAGCCAGTTGGTGCAAAGGGCACGGGTCGCTTCCTGACTCGTCTGAACAGTTTTCCTGGCCTCCTGAGCGCTCCTCTGTCCCCCAGTCCTCACCCTAAACAGCATCATGGTTTTCCCTGATTAGAGAGCGTCGGCCCTGCCTCATCTGGGTGGCGGCCCTGAGAGGGGATGGGGCAGTCTGAAGGGCGACCAGGTGACAGGTCCAGGGAACGCAGTTCTGAGGAGCCATGGAGGGCGCAGAGCCCTGGAGAGCACAGACTGCCACTGCTGAGCCCTGGCAACACCTGCCCGTGCCCGGGCCCCACTGGAGCCTGGGGAGAGCCCCTGGACGGAGGGCAGGGACTCCTGCTCCCCAGACTCAGAAAGCAGCAGAGCAGGAAAAGCAAAGGTGTTCCCAGCCCCTCCCGGGGCTGCGTTTCCATGACAACACCTCCTGTCTATGAGGCTCCTGGAAGGGAAGGCTGGAATCCTCACTGCCTGTCAGACCAGGAAGCAGCAGCTGTCTGGCCACATCTGGCTCTGGCCATGACCCAGAAATGCCAGGGCCAGCGTCAGGGGAGGCACACTCTGTGCGCTCTGGCCCACAAGAGGGCCTGGCACCTCCCTCCCCCAGCGCCCCAAGGCCACCGAGATAAGAGGCCCAAAGAACTGCTCCAGGGACAGGCTGGCTGTGCTCATTATAGCGACTTCCAGGTGGCCCCCCTCCCCCACACCTGCCTTGGGAGGGGGCGGGGGAGCATCCAGCCTCCTTCCTGAGAGGCTGCCCCTGAGAGTCCAAACTCCCTTCCTCCTAGCTCCTCACCCTGGGTACCACGGCCACGCATTTCTCCACAAATGTCATTAAGTTCCTGTGGTTTGGTGGCTGCTGGGCTGACTATGGAGGTGCCATGGGCAACACAGACACGAGTCTGCCCACAGAAGGGTGAGACAGACAGAGGGCCGTAGGATAGTCACAGAGGCCTCTGGTTACACAGTGGGGCGGCCAGGAGGCCAGGTCCCTGCCTGAGCTCTCCGGATGAACAGCTCAACGTGGAGTGGACGTGGCCTGTGTTTGGGCGCCTCGCCTGCCAGTCCGGTGCTGGCCGCCCCTGTTCCCCAGCAGCGGGTGGACACACAGCAGCTCTTGGCGAAGTTTCTGAAAGCCAGAGCACAGGGTCTGCTTCTGAGGAGGAAAGACTGTATCTGGGCCGAGGGGTGAGGCCAGCACGAGCTGCACATGTGCACGAGGGTCCCCCCAGAAGTCAGCATCCATACCCCTGTACTCCAGGGCTGACGCTGCTGCAGCAGGAGCCCAAAAGGGGCGGCCTCCCCCACTCCATTCGCCTCCCTCTGGCTCACGGAGCCCATGGGACAAATGCAGCCCCTTCTCCCACCTCTGCACAGGGCACCTACCACCTGGCAGGCACCAGGGGGACAAGAGCTAAGGGAGATGGCCAGGTGGGAGGCCGCTATCACAGACCGCGTGAGCAGCGAGGGCCTGGGCCAGGCAGCAACAGGAAAGGCGAGAAGCAGCAGGAGCAGGAGACAAAGGAGCCAAGCGTGCTGCCCCGTCCCTGGCCTGTGCACTGCGTTGCTGGGAGGTGCAGAGGGCTGGGGTGGGGCAGGGCTGGGAGTGGAGGGCGGCTTCCCCGCGATACAGTGAAGCCTCGAAGTGGGGAGGGACGACGGTATAGAGAATCCTACTTCGTGGAAATTCATCTATCGTGATAGAGTCTGGAACTGATTAACCGCGATAAATGAGGGCCGACTGTAAGCAGTTCAGGTGTAGATTTTTTTTTTATCCTCACCTGAGGACATTTTTCAATATTTTGTTCGGCTAGAGTAGGGGGGGGGGGGGGAGAGAGAGAGAGAGAGAGAGAGAGAGAGAAACATCGACGTGAAAGGGACACATCGAGTGGTCATAACCCTCATGACCCAGCCAGGGCTGGGGACAAACTGTAACCGAGGTACATGCCCTTAGCGGGAACCGAACCCGGGTCTCTTGGGACCACAGGCTGACGCTCTAACCGCTGAGCCAAACCGACCAGGGCAGGTGTAGACGTTTTAATTGGAGATGTCTGTTAGGCATCCAAGGGGAACTCTGGGTGGTAGTCTACAGAACCATGTCTTGAGCTATTTGGAGACCAAGTAAACACTGGAGCAGACAAATTCCTTAAAACTGGCCATGAAGCCCCAGGCCCCTCATACTCAACAAGGGCAATACTGCCCCCGAGGGGGGAGGATTAGTTCTTAGGGGGCAGAAACAACTTACTCTTTCTTTTAAATATGTTTTTGTTTTGTTTTTTGATATTTTAGAGAGAAAGGGAGAGAGAGAAACAGAGAAACATCAATGGGCTGCCTCCTGCACACCCCCTACTGGGTATTGAGCCTGCAACCCAGGCATGTGCCCTGACCAGGAATCGAACCAGGACCTCTCAGACCATGGGACGATGCTCAATCCATTGAGCCACACCTGCTTGGCTTTTTTTTTTTTTTTATCCTCACCCGAGGACCTTTTTCCATTTTTTGCACAGATAGAGTGGGAGGGAGAGAGGAAGAGAGAAACATCGATGTGAAAGAGACACATCGAGTGGCTGCCACCCGCACGACCAACCAGGGCCGAGGACAAACTGCAACCGAGGTACATGCCCTTAGCGGGAACCGAACCCGGGTCTCTCCGGACTGCAGGCCGATGCTCTAACCACTGAGCCAAACCGGCCAGGGCCCTGCTTGGATTTTTTAAAAAATATTTTTTATTTTATTTTTTTAGATAGAGAGGAAAGGAGAGGGGGAGAGAGAGAGAAACATCAATGAGAGAGAAACATCTATTGGCTGCTTCCTACATGCCCCCTAGTGGGGATCGGGTTGGCAACCTGGGCATGAGCCCTGACTGCGAATTGAACTGGTGACCTCTTGGTGCATGGGATGACACTCAATCCACTGAGCCACACTGGCTGGGCACAACTTACTCTTTTTATGTGTACCTACAGTACATAACAGATATACAGTATATTTGTGGTATTAAAATTTTAGGAGGGGCAATAATTAAAAAGGTTGAGAAACACTGCCCTGGCTGATCTGGGCCCTGCCACCTACCAGCTACCAGCTGCCACCTGCTACCTGCTGCCTGTCCCCTCCTCCTCCATTCCCTCTCGCTCCCACGCTCCTGCCCCAGGGCCACTGTGCTTACTGTTCCTCCTGCCTGCCACACTCTTCCCCTCACATCTATGTGGTCTGTTCTCTCACTCAATTCAAGCTTCTGTTCAAATGTCCCCTCCTCAGAAGGCCCATCCCTTCTTGGCTTCCTCCTCCCTCTCAGGCCCCGCTTTCTACTTGATTTTTTTCAAAGCCCGAACTCTTCACAACCATGTTATTTATTTGTTTATTGTTTGTCTTTCCTGCTGGAATGTAATTCCACAGGAAATGGTCATTTCTTACGCAGTGCCCCACACCTAGCAATGTCTGGTACACAGTTAGGGTACAGTATATATGACTGACGACTGACTGACCGACCGACCGACCGACCGACCGACTGACCGACCGACCGACCGACTGAATGAATGATGAATGAATGAATGAATGCATGTTCTGGGAGCTCC